AGATTTAAAAATAATTAAAAAATGCTTTAAATTAAAATTAAAAAGATGCTTTCATTTCCTTATTCTCAGTATTTGAAGAAATATAAATTTAACATTTTTATTATCTTAATTATCGCTTTCATCACAATGAATGTGTGTACAACGGTAACCACTGTAATTTGCTGTGTGTCATTCGAAATGTGGCGATATTGAACAGACGATTACTCGTCGGTTCAGTATTTAAAATGGATTCCCCACCCCCGCCTCCAGTTTATAAGCTACTACTCGGATGCATTTGATTAATATTTCTATTCATATTTATAAAGAATCTCTTGTAGGAATTATAGCTTCAAATTCCCCCATAAAAATTCCCCTTATGCAGGGGAAATTGTAATTTTTACATAGGTTTTGCATGCATACCTATAGTTGCAAAACATCTCCAAAAATTAAAATTACCAACAATCATGTAAGAGCTTCGATTATTATTTGTGACAGAACATATCAGTAGGATTCCTGCTAATAAAGTGATCAAATTACGAAAAAAATACTTGAAAAATTATGGTAAAAACTACGTTTATTTTCTTTTAAATATTGAAAACTCTTTTGGTTTACTTACATAATCAATATTTAATGTAGGAACCCAATATTAGTCTCATAACCATACAAAGGCTAAGAATCTTTGGCAAATCCATCGCCATAAAACCATAAAGCTTTATCAATGGTAGTGAGAAGCGATTCTCTAATAAGTCTTAGGGATGTTTTTTTTCTGCTAAATATGATGCTTTTCTGGATTGCTAGAAGATAGGATTAACTCACTTTTCTTGGTTTATCTGCATGACAAACCTTTCGGTAGGTTCATGATTATTTATCATTCTTTCCTTACATCGTAAATTGGATAGTACTATCATATTTATGATAAAACATCTGTTGTATTGTCATCATTATTTTATGACGATGTGCAGATTGTGCATTATATTTCCGGGAAGGAAAGGGGACGATGTCATAATATATATGTGTTACATGATAGGTTCGGTTTGGTATGGCCCTCTACGGTCACGAGACCGGGCTAAACAGACCGGAACCTACAGTTTTAAGTGGATTACTACTACTACTACTACACCACAGCACATTACTGTGCCTAGAGCTGAGTTGCCCCTTTACAGTTTGGAAATGATGTGGGTGAGAAGTCTGATTGGGCTCTGTGATGCTCTACGATCACATGGGACTGGGACCTACGATTTAAAGTGGATTCTGAACCACTAACAAAGATCCATGCCACCTCCAGAATTCGAACTGTGGTACCAAAGGCCAGAGCGCTAGCCAGTGGGCCATCAGACCGCTGTATGATAGGACAAAAATAACTTTGATATAAATATTCACAATTACTGAATCAATATGCATACTCTTATTTTCAGTTTACCCAAATTATTAATTTTCTTATTATTAGCTCTTAACAATTTATTATCTTAATTAACCCATTTATCCAACTAAGCGTGCTTTATCGTTAATAAGTCAATTAAAAAAGACTTTTTAATAAGGAGATTATTAATAAAACTAAGAAATACGCAGCTTTTCTTTAATCGCATTGCCCTAAAAAATAGAGAGGCTATATTACAAACTATGAATTTTCAAATTAAAAACACCAATAATAAATAACTGCTTTGACCATTTTTTTTCAATAAATTGAATATAATAAATTTAAACGGATCTTAAAAATTTAATATTTTAATTAAAATAAATAATTTTATTTAATTTTAAACTTATATTTGATTACCAAATAGAGTAATATTAATTTAAACAGATATTTATGAATTTAAACTGAATATTAATTTATAAGGAAATATTCTGTTATAAAAGTTATTAGTTTTTTACTCGAAATACAGGTTTATAAGTATTTAAATTTGAGGAAATAATGATATTTAAAACAAAAAAAAAGCTTACTTTTCTTAGTTATCAGAAAATGAATTATTTCTATTGATGATTAATTAAAAATTAAATAATTAACATATTAAAAGTTATAAATTAATTAAAAGTGTGCAATTATTTGAACAATAAAATTTATGATTGTTTTGACTAACGCAAATACAAAAAAAATCATCAAAACGTAAGCGCTTCTGCCTACTTTTTACACATGACATACCTATGTATTTGCACATGACATGACATACTCATGACATCGTAACATACCTATGTATTACATGACATATTCGTGGCATGCCATACCTATGTATTTACACATGACATTATGACATACTCATGAGATCATGATATACCTATGCATTTACACACGACATCATGACATACCTATCTATTTACAAATGACATCATGACATACCTATGTATTTACACGTGGCATTATTTCAAAAATTTGCATTGAAATTACTTGTTGAAATTTTCTCAGAATAAAACAATTTTACAAAATACTTACAGAATATGCTTTTAATAAAATACTTTTTTGCAGAATACTTTAAGCAGGGCTTAGCATATTTTATTAAGAAATACATTCTATATTAACATCTTCAATCACTTTAATACGTAACATAACGTCTATACATTTGAACATTTCAAACGAAATGCCTTTGCAAACTTTCAAGTAATTTTAAAGTCTTTTACAGACTTTTAAAACTCTAGAGACAGTTTCCAAGTTTCTCTAAAATGAATTATTAAAGTTATAACTTGTAACTTGACCATTAATCGATTGTGGCAGTAGACATGTTTTAAGTTTTGGATTACTTTTAAATTATCTTCAAATCGATATCTGGAACCCATGAAAGATTAAATATTAAACATTTCCGACAGAATAACTTTAATTCGTCTAAAACCTTTAAGAAATATCCATACTATCCATATCTTGCCATTCTTTCAAAAGACTTATTTAGTATGTTTTGTTTATTTTCGTGAAAAATTTAAAATACTGAAAACTACAGACTGACAGATTTCAGTATATTACATATTGTTCAGTAGATATATATATTGTTCCGTATATATACATTATCATCTTTTGGCGCAACAGCCCCATTGTAGGCCAAGGCCATCTGCCTACTGGCAGATTACGAGATGAGAGATGTTTTTCTATTTACGATGTAGGGTTGTCAGTCCTACGTCCAACGCTCAACAGCCATATTTATATATATACACAGTGTGATTATAATTAAAATTCCAGTACTTTCAAAATGCTGTAAAACAAGAACCACCCATCACAATGAGTTCCAATTTGAACTGAAGATACCTGAAGAATGGGAAAACGGTATGACATCAAAAAAGTTCCACTGAATTTTCCCATTCAATTTGGTATGACCTTGCCGGATAGATTGGCTATTCTCTAACAGTGCCACAATCGTTGAATGACTTGGAAGTCATTTTTTCCGTCAAAAAACCGAAACAATCAAGCACATTGAACACTACAGTTGGTTTAATGTGCGACTCATGCCAAATACGTTGTAATTTCGATTCGAAATATTACTGGCAGCCGAATTCACTTTCTTTATGCCGCTTACAGCGCCATCTATTAACACACTTTGGAAATGTTTTTGATGTCGTACCGTTTCCCCCTAATTTAAGTATCTTCAAATTGGAACTCATTGTGACGAATGGTTATTTTTTTACAGCATTCTTTTTTTTACAGTGGGACTTTAATTATAATCATCCAAAATCAATAGATGTCAATTTAGTTTTGATAACTGCATGCTTATTTAGTGTAAAAATATAAAGCAGACATATTTAGTTTATATATATGAAGCAGAAAAATTATAGTTTTTTCAATGCGGACTGCTGCGCAATACTTTATACTCGCTACTCCCGTTAACCTGCTAATTATTTTGAACTACTTTATAAAGTTACTTCAGTGACTCATCTTTGAATCTCTGATGTTTTGGTAATTTGGACAACCTACCAAACTCTCCACAAAAACTTAGGGATAAAAAGGACTTTTAAACTAAGTGAACTCATTTCAGGACATGGCACTTAAGCTGAACCATTAGTGTTGACCATCTGGATACGCATTATAAATACATAGGCCGGAACGTCCTTCTCACTAGTTAGTTGAAAGACTTCCTCTTCAAACAACTCAGTAATTTTCCAGTACTGCGTTTTTTTCTCTTTCGAAGCTGAGTTCGAAAGGGAGGGGAGGAACGGATGTCCAACTTCTGGATGTTAATTTAAATTACGATGGCATAATGAGCTGGAGCTGGTTAACCGAAATGCAAAGCAAGCTTTTTCTTTGCAAAGCAGTGAACAGTATTGTAATTTTATAGATTGAAGGCATAAAAATGAAAGTGTGTCTCTATTTGGAGAAAAATTTATATTGATTTGCGCATCAAAAATCTTTTATGGATTAATTTTTGTATTTTTAAATTATGCAAAATCGGTATCATTTATGCTTTTTCAAATCATTAAAAATTGTCATTTCAAGTTCATTCAAATGCGATACGTTCAGTAGCTGGATAAATATAATAATTGAAAAAAAAAATTTTTTAATTTTATTAGTCAAAACATATTTATGTAAACATCGGTGGATGTTGCATCTCTAAAACACACTTATTTAGCGACCTGATGGCCAATTGACTAGTGCTCAGGTCGTTCATAAACAGGCTTCAGATTCGAATCCTGGCGATGGCGTGGATGTTTGCAATTGGTCGGAATCCACGTTAAACTGTAGGTCCCGGTCTAATTAGCCCTCGTGTACACAAAATGGCCGTAGAGAACAAACCAAACACACTTATTTAAATAGAACTTCAGAAAAACATGGCATGGATGGAAAATTCCTCGATTTTATCAATTAAAGTACTTTTGCAAACAAAAAAAGCCTCTAAAATGAGTACAGCATTTTTCAGGACGTTTAAAATCAGTAGAAAGATGCTTAACTAAAGGAAAGTTCCCATGTGAGGTTTTACTATCTTATGATTGTCAAACGTAAACCAAAGCCAACCAAAAACCAAACATGATTGAAGGGGAAGGAAGCAGCTTCTGTTGTGATGGAGCACCCGTAGGTAGAAGCCGTAGCAAAACGTAAACCAAAAGCCAACGGCCGTACCATGCTGAATATACCGGTTCTCGTTAGATCACCGAAGTCAAGCATCATTGGGCGCAGTCAGTACTTGGGTGGGTGACCACCTGGGAACACCGCGTGCCGTTGGCAAATTTGGGACCTGAATGGCCGAGTGTCTGGCGCTCGGTGCCACAGGTTTCGGGTTCGAATCCCGGCGGTGCCATGGATGTTTGTAGTGGTTCGGAATCACTTTAAGCTGTAGGTCCCAGTCTCCTATGACTGTAAGAGCGTCACGGAGCAAAAGTCAGGCTTCTTACCTACGGGTGCTCCATTCACAACAGAAGCTGCTTCCTTCCCCTTCAATCATGAGTACGTATGGGCTCGTGGGCTTGGCCAGCCAAGTGGGATAAGAAACAACAAACAAAAAAAAACATGATTGTCTTTATTTCAATTCTATTTTTTAAACTTAAATTGTTTGTTTTAGTTTTAACAAATAAACTGGATTTAGATCAATTTATTTATCCGATTATACAGATACTCAGTAAAATAATGAATTGTATCATGAAATATGCAAGCAGTAAAATACATTATTAACTAATACTTATCTACAGTTAATACTTTATATATTTAAAAGGTGCCTTTTACTTAAAAAAAAAACACATTAAATGGTGTTGAAAAGAAATTTCTCTGCTGAATTAAACTGTATTTGGAGAAAAATTTATATTGGTTTGGCATCAAAAATTTTTTACGCGACATTTTTTTGCATTTTCAAATTTTGCAAATATGATATCATTTCTGCTTTTTCCTATCATTAAAAATTGACATTTCAAGTTCCTTCAAATGCGATACACGTTGATTAGATGGATAAATACAACAGTTGTAAAAAGGTTTTTAAAATTTTTTTATTATTCAAAACTATACTTTGTATGCAAATTTCGGTGGAAGTTACATCTCTAAAACACACTTATTTTAATAGAACCTCGGAAAAAAAATAGGATTTATTGAAAATTCCATCATTTCATCAACTAAAGTGTGTTGTTCTTGTGTCTAATCCTCAGTTTCCCGCAGTGAGGGACAGACATCCCATGAGTAATCTACTCATGGATGGAGGGAAAGGGGGCAGCTTCTGTTGTGATGGAGCACCCGTAGGTCGAAGTCTGACTTGGCTCCGCATGCTCTTACCAGTCATGTAAGACACAGCGACCTACGGCTTAAAGTGGATTACAAACCACTACAAACATCCATGGCACCGCCGGGACTCGAACCCGAAACCTCTGGCATCGAATGCCGATAGACACTCACCCATTCAGGCCCCTCAATTAAAGTACTTTTACGAAGAAAAAAACCATGAAAAATTAGTATAGTATTCGTGAGGATCTTTAAAAATCAGTATAGAAAGATGGGGCCCTGATGCCCTAGTGACTAGCGCTCTTTCACTCGGTCCCACAGGTATCGGGTTCGATTCCCGGTGGTGGCATGAATATTTGTAGTGGTTCGGAATCCACTTTAAGGCGTAGTTCCCAATCTCATACGACCGTAGAGTGCTACAGAGCCCAATCAGGCTTCTTCTCGTCCCACATCATTCCCAAACTGTAAAGGGGCAACTCAGCTCTAGGCAGTGATGTGGTGTGGTGTGGTGTAGTAGTACTATAGAAAGATGCTTAAATAAAGGAAGGTTTCATTGCTTTCAGCTTGTGTTTATTTCAATTTTTTTAAACAGATATTGTTTGTTTTAGTTTTAACAAAGAAAATGATCAATTTACTTATCTAATAATTTGCGGAAAAAACATAGATACTCAGAAAAAATATTAATTGTTCGTATCATGAAATAGGGCCGCAGTAAATGCATTATTAACTAATACTTAACTACAACTAATACTTCATAAATTTAAAAGAAATCTTTTACTTAAAAAAACGACACATTAGATGGTGTTGAAAAGAAATTTCTCTGCTGAATTAAATTACATGAAGAAAGGGCGTTTAAAGCGAAAAAAAATATTAATGAATGAAATATAATGCTGGTGATTTTTTTTTTTTTTTTTTTTTTTTTTTTTTTTTTTTTTTTTTGTTACTTCCAAAACTGTAGCATAAATTTCAAAGCGCGTAAAAAATTTCTACACGAATGAAAATTGTAAAGAAAAAACGCTAAAGTAAAAAAAAATAAATAAATAAGTAATCGAGGTAAAAGAAGACACTTTTACAGCTTGATGTAAGTAAATTGGTTAATTTTAAATAAAGCAGCTTGTTTTAAAGATAAAAAAAGATGCATATTTTATCATATTTTTAGTAAAAGTTTGGTTAAAGTGTTAAAAAAAAAATAATGTTCTAATTAATTGATTTTTTTTTTTTTTTTTAGTATTTTCTTAACACTTTTTTTAAAGGCATGTTGGTAACAAAAAAGGAGGAATGTTATATTTTTAATTTTGTTTTGTACTTCACAATGCTTACTATATAATTTTAATGAATAAAATCAATCACAAATTTCTATAGATTTTGCTGCTAGGAATATTTATATGTACAAAACGTAAGCCTATTCTACTATACGTTCATAGAGGATAAGAAATATATTAAATGTTTGTAATCAAAAACTTTAGTCTTATAACTCAACAAAATTTTATATTAAAATGCAATAAACCTTATTACGTGTAATATATTTCAATTGAAATGTGCCAATATATTATATATTTTATTTGAAATATTTTATAGTTAATTTTGTGAATTAGCTAACACAATATAATTTATTAATTTCCAAAAAACTATTATAAATGGATATTTGAATGAAAACACATTTATTATTTCTGATGTTTTAGGAAAACTTCCTTTTTAAATTCATATTTTTTATGAAACATTATTTTAATTCTTACATCGAAATTTTAGAAAAAGTTTTTAAGAAATCGTAAAATCCCACATTTAAATTAAAAGCATTGATTCTATGCTATTTATACATTTTTGATTAAAATAAGTGATCCAACCGTGTTTTAATTACATAAAAAGAAAATTCGTATTTCTAAAAATATTAAAGGAAATATTTTTTTCATTATTTATCAATTACTACAAATATACAGAATAAGAAAATTGACGTTAGATATAGTAATTAGTTCGAATGCCATATTTGAAGGAAAACACTTGCATTTATTATTTCAGAAATTTTAAGAAAAATCCATCCTTAAATTGATATTTTTTATGAAATATTATTTTTTTTTTTTTTTTAATTCGTGCATCAATATTTTAGGAATAATTTTTAAGAAATTGCAAAATTCCACATTTAAATTAAAAGCATCGATTCTATGTTATTTATACATTTTTAATTTAAATAAGTGATCCAACCGTGTTTTAATTACGTAAAAATAAAATTCTTTTTTCTAAAAATATTAAAGGAAGCATTTTTTCATGTTATTTTTGGTTCATATTTAATAAAATTTTTGTTACATGGAATACAAATAACTATTTAAATTTTTTTTCGACTTTTTTTTTGTCAATTACTATAAACAGAAAACGAAAATTGACGCTAAATATAGTAATTAGTTTGAAAGAGTTTGATTTTGAAAAGATGAGGAATTTAATTGATATGAAAACATATATTTTTATTTTTGTGCATTATTTTAATAATGCAGATTGCAGTATTATTAAATATTCAACTTGTCATTATCTTTTTTTCTGAATTACATCAATTATTTAAACAACATGAAGTAGTATTCATTTTATTCTGTTTATTATTTGGAAAAATCTTTTTCCTATTTTAACGTTTTTCTATGAAAATATTGCATCGACTTTTATTCTGGATTAGTAAAACCACTCCTATTTTTCGATATAAATTGCTAATGAACCATCACTTCGACACTTGAAATATACGGATTTAATTTTCAAAATAATACGGATACTTAACTGTCCCGGAATTGCAATTAATGCCGCTAGAAATTGAGTGAGATTAAATCAAGCAGGTTAAATGTAGAATCCACTCAACAATTATTCAAATTCGCGTAAATTATCTTGCGCGCATTTATTATTGTCTATTGCTTATAATAAACTGCTGAATAAAGGTATTTTACATACACTCATAAATATTTTATTTTGAAAATAAAATTATCCGAAAGTTTTCGAAACGCATTTTATTTTCCACAATTACTTGATATAATTTAAAAAAGTCCTTATCATTCAAAGTTTTGAAAATAAATTTCTAATCGTGACAGAAAATAAAATTATATAAAGAAGTGTAGAAATGAAATTTTTTTATAAATGCACTGTGATTAATTCTTCCTTCATAAAAACGTCAAACGGAATAGAAAACAAATTTCTATTTTTTTATTTATTTATTTATTTATTTTTTTTTTTTTTTTTTTTTTTTTTTTACTTCTGTAATTTTTGATTGAAAATTTGAGTTAAAAAAAACGGGAAATTTATTATTTTAATAATAAAACAAAAAGTGACAAGTTAATTCATTTACAGAATTAATATATATAAAAATATAAACAATTTTCAATATCATATTTAATCCATTTAAATGAAATATTTTATTCCAGTTTTTATTAAAAATTAATTTTGACGGTTTTGTAAATTTTTAAGACAGCTTTAGTATCAGCTTATTTATTGTATGTAACTATTATTTTAACAATTTTATTTCTAAAATTCATATTTATTTTCATTTTACAAACTTAAAAAATTTATTTTTACCAACAAATCAGATATAATAAGCTAATATTTCTTACTGTAACATCATTTATTAAAATTGCATATAATCACCATATATTCATATTGTTTTTTATGGATTATTCATAAAATATTTAATTTTTCCTGGGAGAAATTTAGCTAACATCGTTCATTTTTTTAACCACTGTTAATTAATAATGTTTTTAATAATAAATAATGATATTGTTAAATCTTTTATATTTATTTGTTAAATAATAATGATGGTATCCTTTACTATACATAGATTGTTCATATATTCATGCCATATTTAATTTTTTCCTGGGGAAATTCAGCTTACAAGGTTAATATTTTTAACCGTTGTTAATTAATTATGTTTTACTAATAAATAATAATGCTGTTAAATAATCTTTTATATTCATTTGTTAAATAATAATGATGGTTCCAAAATATATAAAATTATTTTCAATATGCAGCCTTATTTTACCGAGATGGTAAAATA